GAAGGCTGTTGGTGGTATGGCTTTTTTTAGAACCTTTATACTATGTGCCCATTCTATGCCAGTACTTGCTGTCTTTTTCTTCAGTTCTGATGCACAGATAAGCTGGAAGTCTCCAAGAATGTGGTTTTTTTCCATGATGCTCCACTTGGAGTTCTTGTCAGAGTAGATGTTACACAGTTTGTTCATTTAATTATAAGCTGAAACATGACTTTGGATAAAAAGCAAATGTCTTCAAATTCCTGCTCTTTAAGGTGGTGTCTTTGTACTTGGAACAGCTTTTTCACATTTTATTCAAAGGAAACTTTAAYATTATTTCTCTGCAGACAAGTATTAGTGAACTGAACACCTCTCTCCAGCAAAGTCAATTTCTAAAACCTTGCTTGTTGTGACTAAGCAACACAACGAGCAGTGCCCAGAATAAGATTTACAAATAAATTTCTAGAACATCTTTTATTTCTTAGTAGAGTAATGGTCTTATGGTTAGATGACAGTTATAAGATTCAGGTTCAGCTGCTGATTTTATAGCAATTACTGTGGTTCAACGGGGCAAACAATTTCATGTATGTTCAAGAGTTAATGAGTTTGCCTGGTCAAAGAAGAATTTCTCTGAGACTTTGTTAATGATGGGATCAAATGCTGCAGCAGTGGTGTATTTGTAACATACAGAGATCTGTGTTTTGGAGGATATAGTTTTGCTCTTTTAGTCTTGGAGATTTTTCTGCTGATTCAGGCAGTTGTTATTAGGTGACAGTATTCTATTATGTGGCAAAATGTGAGGCATTCAGAGCTTGGAAATGTATTTCAAGGATCAAAGTAATAAAAGTCATAACTTCCATGCTTTTAGAAATACACCATCAGTTGTCGTGTTTGTTCATGTAATAGCAAAGCAATAGTGGCTTTTTCTTGCTATTTGTTGACCTGACTGAAAAAGTTGGTTTACCTGTGTTTGGTGAATGACTGTTACCTGCTTAGATTTGTCTGATTTGAAGAGTGAATTAGTTATTCTTCTTCCTTTGAATTGTTTCTTAAAAGATACTTGTTTAACTAAATAAAATGTTTCAGGCATGACATTTGATTCAATGTAAAAGTTGTTCTGTATTTTCATCCAAACATMCTAAGCCAAGAGAACTATATTGTTAAAGTGTTTTTGCCATGGAMTATATTTTTCCACATACTGTGCAATATTCTATGCTGTGAAATTCTACATTCTGTGTGGAGCCCTTTGGTGCTACCAAAAAAGTATAGCCAAAGGTGCATATTCTGTTCTTATTATAAAATAGATACTAGGAGAACTTTTACCAACTTCTAATTTGTTTTGATCTTTATTATTAATACAGATGCTGAATAATCTAGGAAATGCAACATCTTTACTTCTACAAAGCCATGTCTTAAAAGAGCCATCCAGTGTGTTATACGACTTGGATTATTTCCATTATGCCCTTAATTCTGATCCTTCTTTGAATTCTAGTACTCTTTAAGAGATGTCTGCCTTTCTAGTTCAGTAGTTGCAGTTAAGGTAGCTTCATCCTAATGACAGTTGTTGGAAACAGCTCTCACTTTTTCATTTTTGTTGTTTGTCTTCGCATGTGCAATACTATTCATATTCATTGCTGCAGTTTTGCAGAACAGAAATTAACCAAAGTCTCACTCTATCTGCTATAAAGCTTTCAACTTTGTCCTTTGGAATCCAGCTGTAATAAACACCATGAATCTTTGACTTCAGTTCAAAGGTGATTAGAAGTTAAGCTTGTATAGCTTATGCTATGTATAGGATTTACACCCAAAAGAAAATAATATTTGGTATGAATATGATTTATTCTTGAAGTTACTAGAGGAACAAATAACAAGGAGATTAGAGCAATGTTCATCAGCATTTAAATCTTGGAGAATGCTTGTTGTGACTAAGCAACACAACGAGCAGTGCCCRGAATAACTTGAAAATTTTAAATGCAGTTTCATCTGAGTAGCAAGGATATTTATTTTACCTCCATGTAAATACTTGGACTAAACTTTATATCAAAATGAAACTGAAGTCAGAACCATTTTCAGAGCTTTTTTCACAAATACAGTAATAATGTACAGACCTCAAGATGTGGGTCTAGATGTTCTCCCCCACAAACTAATTAAATATGTACATTTAGGTGTCAGAATACATCACTTTTCCATTTTTAGGTGCATGGGCTCTATGTTGCCAGGCTCAAAAAAGTACTGTTAACTTTTCTATGCCCGTTGTTGAGTTTTGTACCATGTTCCATTGTTGGTGTGCAACACTATGAAAGACTTCTGACCTGCTGGATAAAAATGCCTTTTTTTTTTCATTCATACAACACTTAATATATAGAGGGTCCTTCCAATATAAATTACTTGTATATTCCTTCTCTCCAATCTGTTTTGTAGAGACTTGGGAATGAAAAAAAATTGGGCAGCATTGAAATTAGGGAGTGACAGGGCACTCTGATCTGTAGTGTATTCCTTGGTGCTCTGTGGTGGATTACCTAACAGCAGAGACAGCTGGTGAAACAGGTCATAGGAAAGGCTGGCTGACTATCAGGTCATGTGGCAAAGGAAGGGGCCAAAGTGTTAGATTGCAACTGGGGCACATATCATCTCTGTGAAGATTTCGTTTGCAGGCCACTGCTGGTTAAGGTGACCCTGGCTCATTTTGTGCCCTTTCCTTGCTGGCTCAGTAGATCAGACTAAGCACCAGGGTTGGGCAGGTTTGAGTTGTGGAGCAGGAGGAAGGGGAAACTGTGCTGCAAGTAGGGCACAGCTTAGGTTTGTGGAAAGAGAATACAGCGAATTCTGCATGAGTCATACTCCAGACTGAAGGAGGGGCAGGCTTCTTAGGAGCCATATGAGTGCAAATATCAGATTGGGAAGGAATGCAGGTTCTTGGGACTCTATCGAGAAGGCAGAGAGAAGAGGCTTCCTCATGTAGGACAGTGGGAAAGAAAAAGTGAAGCTTTTTTATAGGTTAGTAAGATATATTGTGTTTAGGTCACCAAAGAAGTGTGGGACAATGATGTGAAGTCCCTTGRAGCAAAGCTTGTTTCTAATGCAAGCTAAGAATATAGAAACTCTTTTTTTACAAATGGTCACATGTAAAGGACAATGGTTACAAGTTAATCCAGGGGAGATTCTGATCAGACAGAAGAGAAAAATATTTCACAACGAGAGCAATTGGCCGCTGGAACAATCTCCCTATGAAAGTGATGGGCGCCCAAATGTTTTGACACTGCCAAGATTCATGTGGACGATCTTGTCTAGACCATTCTTTTGCCAAGAGAAGTTGGACCATATGAACCTCCAGGTTCTCTCCCAACCAGGTATTCTGATTCTCTGCAGGTTCTCATTTACAACACAACTTCATGCCTGTATAACCTTGTACATCTTCCTGCATAATTACTACTTCAAAGCATAACACATATTTGAGAGAAAATTATTTATGACTACATACTGGATAAGAGGTTGCTAAGAAACAGGGTATTCTTTAAAAAGCAGGATGTATTATTTGCTTAGCTTTGCTTAATTGTTCTGTGATATATGATGCAGAGAWAGCAGATGGATTTTCTAGTTGTCTTACAAGCCTGAAAACTGCCAGGTACCTTTAAAATACTTTGGAACCAAGTACCTATTCCCCATGCTAAAGGATAGATTGTACTTAGCATCTAGTATGTGAGACAGCTTCAAAAGAATATGCGGAAAAAAATTCTATTCTAAGTTCCCAATGACTAGCTATAAATTATCTAAAACATCTCAAGGCACACAAAAAATAGTTTGTTAAAGAAACAAAAAAGAATAGCTAGAACACTGTCAGTAGCTACATTAGCATAAATGCCAATCAATATAAGCATAAAATTGATAATTCATCTATCATGATAAGGGTATAGAAATTTGACAGAAAATAACACCCCCAGTTGGTCCTTAGAGATCAGACGGTCTGGATGTGGCTGGACTTGATTTATGATTGTAATCAACTCAGCACTATAGGTTTGGATGTGTTCAGTAAGAACTTTCACAAGCACAAATAGTGCAATTTACCACTCCAAAACTACAGGTCAAACTGTGCTTGAAGTTAGAACCTTCACTGTYGCAGATTCACACATGGCACACATAATTTTGTTTATTGAAAAAACAGAAACACAGACTTGGAATTGCTGTTGAAAAACAGCACTAGATGTGACAGAGCTCTAACAATAACAAAAATATTGTGTTAGCCTGGGTAATAATAATAATCCTATGCAGGAGCCAACCAAGGAGGCAGCCCTGCTGGTGAAGAGGGAGAGTAACTCACCAAGTGACTCCAAGATCTTTCTGGGTCTTTGTCTAAGTACCTGAAAATTTTACCCACCTTACACACAGCCCAGTCTTATTCCTCCTCCTCCTCCTTTACACATAGCATATTCTAGGTGGAGGATTGACTAATATAATCATGTATGTGGTAGCATGTACTTCATTAATCTTATTAACATACTCAGGTTGTGTGATTTAAACACCCCTTAGTCAGGCAAAAGTTACATTTTTGGCCATAGTGTCCTTCAAAGTCCTAGTAATATAACTTCATTCTGTTCTGTTTAGTTCTTTAGAGCCAAAACAGGACCATCCTATCTCCACAGGGCCTCCTCCTTCGGCTCACTCATCCTTTCTTGACGTCAACAACTATGCAGAACTCCATTTGCAAAGATAGTGTAGAAGGAATGTGGTGTAGGCTGTAGGTAGTAGACTGTCTTAACCCTTGCTGGGCTCCTTGGTCATCACCCTACACCATCTTAAAGTCAGATGAAAGATTAAAAATATATTCATTATCCAGAAATAATCCTAGTACAATTCCTGTTGAATTTCCCCCCGCACAATCTTCTACAAACTCGCTAAAGAAGAATCTCTCTGAYAGAGGTTAGATTTTGACTTGACCAGAACTACTTTCTTTGTATTCAAAACATCAGCCTAGCTATCAGAACATAGTTAATTATTAATGCATGTGTGTAATCAGGACACCTGACTCTGCAGATTGTTAGCAGGTTAGCATAGTGTACTTCTGTTTAAGCAGATCACAGAAGAAAAATAGGATTGAAAGTTTACTTACAATGTTTTGTTAGGCTAAGAAAAATGTAGAATATTCTTGCTAACCGCACATCAATGCAGTATCCACAGTTTCAGTGCATTCTGGATTTAATTTAAAATGTCAGGGATCTTGGATCAGAGAATTCTGTTGCTTTTGTTTTCTATAATTTCATTTTCAGCAAGTGTGCAGAGTACAAAGGTACTTTCGGAATGGAAGAAATGTGGTGATCCGGAATGTGAGAGTAAGTAAAAATTTGTTTTTTTTCAGAGGGAGTCTGTGGTGTAGATGCAGCTATTAAGAATCATAAAGTCAAAATTAGCAATGAAACAGACTGAAAATGAGTAGCCATAGCAAATGTTTGTTGTTAATATACTAAGTTTATAAGCAATAGGCTTAAATTTTTAAAACAGAAAGAGGAAAAAAAACCAACTTGCCGGGGAAGGATATACAGATCAAAGTTCAGTAACACTACTTTCAAATGGCTAGTTTTTCTCAGGTGTCACCAAAAYGGGCACTACAAAAATAGCTTGAAAGTACTTTCAACTCATTTGTTACAGGTACAAAATAAAATGAACAAAATATAAATAAAATGRTAGGCTATAAACTGAGAAAGAAGGATCTTTATCATGTATTCATTCATARCCCATTCATAGCCCATTCTGCAAAACTCTGATTTTTTTGTACAATAAGCAAACCGGTTTGGRATGTTTTTGTAATCCTTCTTACAAAACACTCTGTTAATACATGCACTTTACTTATTTTTTCCTTCTTTAACATGAAGTGCTGTAACTAATTAGGTAGTTCTTAAAGAGTAAATAACTCTGCAGGAGGCAGAGCCACTGAATCACAAGTGGAAAATAATGTTCCATTTATTATTCACTGATTACCATTGTGAAATCTGTCATAATCATAGTTGAAGCTGTTTCTAAGCTTTTTCCATTGGTTTGGCAGCCTTAAGTGTTGTATTTTCAATGTGGATAGCTTCTCCTGAGGTGGAAAAGACCTTAGATTTCCTCTGTGGACGGATTTCTATTTTCTTGTGGAGTCATACCAACTTCAGTAGGTTCTGGATGTTCAGAGATGTCTATCTCTGCGGAACAGCATGTGAAATGAGCTCCAAACTGACCAAAACACATCAGTTGTGGTTTCTGTGAGGAGACGGGTGGAGACAAAGAAAACTTAAAATAATTCTAATTGAATTGGAAACTTTGGTTTAAATAGCATGTTTAAGGTTTATATTGCTTAAATTTACTTATCTTTGTCATAAGATAAATGTTTTTAAAATCCCTGAAATAATTACTGTATTTAACTTAGAATTTCTAAAATATGAAATTATAAATATGCCCAATAATTATTTTTTAGGTGTTTATATCTGACTTTATTAATTGAATTTGCTAATTCTGCCTATATATTTAAGCATTGAAACCTTGGCTAAACAAGCACTGGAAAATGTCCATATAGGACAAGAGCTTTTTCTCCTTGATGTCTGCAATACATAGGAAAGAAAACAAGACAGGTCTGCTTTTTGCATTATTTGATTTCCACTTGATTATATAAATGGACTACTATAATAACAAAGCACATATGTTAAAATGTTTGTTAATACATCAGTATTTGACATGTATCAGACTTCTTCAGTAACCTGACTTCAGAGAAAATGGATGCTGTATTTGTTTGTTTGTTTCTTTCTTTCCACATATAATTCCAGAGGCAATGAGTCGAGTTCAAGCTACTACTGACTACTTAGGGCCTGACTGCCGGTATCTCAACTTCAAAACAGGGGAGGAGATCATGGTATACTCCAAACTTTCAAGGGAAAATGAAAACTTGTGGGCAGGAAGTGTAAGTACTTCAATCTGAAATACTTTCCCACAAATATTTTAGATAATATAAAATAGCATAACAACTGCAGTCTACTTGCTTCCAAGGATCTTCTATCTCTTTTGGAATATTAACCAGTCATGGGTCAATACAGTATTTGGGAGATGGGTCATTGTTAGTATCCTTATTTGGAAAGAGACAATAAAACCTTGGCAAAGATCCCTCCTAGAGAAACAAAGTCAAGATCAGAATATGTTTCCTGTTTCCTTCATCTTATTATTTGGCTGTAATGGTTGTGTCTGCTTCCCTTGAAAGCATTCAGGTCTATTGGGTCAGGTTTCTACCTACAGGTCTGTGGGTAAATCCAGTATTGGGACCTGACTTCACAGTTCAATGCTTAAGGAAAACTCCCAGAAAAGTTACCATGGATATTTAATGACTTGGAACAAGTGTCAATGAATTTAGAAGAAATTTAATAAGGAATTAATGCATTGATCCAAATCAAATTTTACTGCTAGTAAAACTGAGTGCTTCAAAACTACAAGACATTAGTCAACTTTTTTTGTTGGTTTTTTTTTTCCCCCCCTGAAAATAATCTGTCACATTTATTGTTTAACCGTGAAATTCTGTCTTCCTTTTTGTTTCATCCAAGAGTGTCTTTGCAGGTACCTCACTATTCCTTGCTTACCAAGGTGTATCCCTCCACTGAAGGCTGTCTGCAATGGTTTGATGTAAAGCCAGTGGTGGTTTCTTGGCCAGAGGGACTTGATTCTTTTGGGCACCATCATTAACTTATTTTCTGTAGTGTTGCCATCTTCACTGTAATTTTCTCTTGAAGTGCAGCTGGCCTCGTATCTGAATTTCATATACACTACTCTTGTAAATTATTATGGGTCATTCGTTATTAAGGCATGACTTGTTTCCCCTTTGAGACAATGGGAAATTTRCAGCCAATTTTAGTACAAGCTGGCTGTGACCATCAGTGCACACAGCAGTGTCTTCTGCCGGAAAAGTTTTAAGGGGAATACTTCCATGCAGGCAAAATAAACCAATCTTTCGACAAAACAAAGTGAAGAAGTTAGGGGGCAGTTCTATAAACTTACTGTTCATCCATACCTTTCCAGCACATATGCAAACACCTAACATATATGTCGCTGAAGTTTAAATGCTGTCATTAGTTTAATATTTTTTACAGAAAGGAAAGGATTTTGGATATTTCCCAAGAGATGCTGTGAAGTTTGAGGAAGTTTTAATTGAAGAAGAAGTTGAAGTGCTCACTAAGGTAAACCAACATCACCAGCTTTTCTAATGTAGTTTACAATTGAAAATCTAATATCCAGTTAGAAATTCAACCGTCAATGGACACTKCATTTCAGATAATTCAAAATGTGTTTTTGTTATTGCTCCATTTGTGTGTTTATTGTCCTCTAAAATAATTTCTATATAATTAAAGATTAGAATCCTTAGGAATAATATAATTTATTACAGTTCTTTCTGTAAAGTTATAACAGAAAGAATGATATCTATTGCTGCACTATACAGTGATATAGAAAAYTACACATTAAAACATATTAAAAGTTAATATTATTCTTCTAGGAAACTGATTTCCTTTGTCTTCATGAGGATAAGTACACTTTTGAAAATGAAGATAACACATTATATGGTCATAACAAAGAAAGTGAATATTCATTGTCTGATACAGAAAAAAAGCTGCATGAAAATGAACTCTTAAAATATACAAGAGACTCCATACAAAATGAAGAAAGACCTGAATCAGTTTCTGAAAATGACTCAGAGGAATCTCACACTCAGGAGTCTGTAAACAAAAAGTTGGTTAGAAAAGATGATACTGAAGAGCCACAAATGCAAAACAGTCTCCCACTAGAACCTGCTCAAACTCAGTCCAGTTGGATTTCAGGATGGTTCGCCACAGAAAGTGAAAATGATGAAGAGCTCTTAAAAGGCGTTACTGAATCTTCTGAAGAAAATGAACACCAAGACAAAAAAGTAGAGGTAACAGCTGAAAATGACTTACAGGAGCCAAATGATAAGGAGGAACAAGAACCCTCAGCATCTGGTTGGTTTCAAGGTGGACTGACRAACTTTCTGTATTTTGGTGAAAAGAATGAAGAGGTTGATTTGGCAACAGAAAAWATTGATCCACAAATCCATGATGTTTCTGGTGTGCCAGAGCATTCTAATATGGAACAGGAAACAACAGTCACCGGGATGTTGCCAGAAGGAGAAAAAAGTGAAAGCCAAGAATCTGAATCAAATTGGTTTAATTTGGGTTTAAGTGATGTTCTTAATTTTGGCCATGCTGAGGAAGCTACAATTGCTACAGAGGACCAGAAAAGCAGAGAAACAAAGGATCAAGCAAATAAGCATGARGAAGAGCAGAGTTTAGACCAGAAAGAATTACATATGGACAAAGAAACAAAGGAAACAGTTAAGGTRGTGAAAGATGAAGAAGAGAATTATGCACAAGAAATAAGAGATTCAAACACTAACAGGACAAATCCTGGGGAGATGCCAGCAAGTGTACAAACTCTAAATGACACCAAAAACACCTCAAGTAGCACAGAATCATCTTTTGATATACTGACATGTGACAAAGAGATTGAACCTCACAGTTCAGAAGAAGACTTGGTATCAGAAAGCCAACTGCTGGAAAACATTGAAGCTGGAAAGAAAAATCAGGAGTCAGAAAGCAGACGTGGTCAGTCAGGTTGGTAGACAAATATTTATAGTAGTTTTATTAATTATAATATGGACAAACATGATAATCAACAGGGACATGAATCAATTGCATCAGATCCGATTTCTTCTTCTCATAACCCACTTTCAAACTGTGATCCCTCATACGTAGAAAATACAGGAGAAAAGCCTGACATAGCTGAAGAGCAGAGCCATTGCTTCTCCTTTAGTTATTTTGCAGACACACAGAAGTTTCTGACCTCAATCATTAAAGAAGGGCAAGTACAGAGTTATGGGAAACTACCAGGAACTGCAAATAATCTTTTGGGCATCAGGAAGACTTTGTGTGACAGTGAACTGAGTCTTAGTCTGGAAACACCTGAGGAAGACAAACTAGTCAAAGGCTGTGATGCAGAAAAAAATTCAGCATCCAAAAGCCATTTCAAAGTCAATGGTAATGTAAAAGACACAGTTAGTGTCTCCTAAAGCTATCTAACTAGAAAGCCAGACTGMTATTAAAACAAAACAGGATTAATTAAATCCTGGCAATCTAGGATTGTTCATAAACCTGGCTGATAAAGTAGATGTTKAAAAGAAGTTACTGTTGTAACTGAAAGGATGAACAGTACTGAACAAAAAAATTGCTGCTACTAAAACTAGTTAGGAGAATAAAATAAAAAGATTCTGAAACTAAGAGTCAAAATCCAGGACTAAAACTAATAGCAATTATATTCTAACAAAAAGGGTTTCAGTAGTATTTTTACCAGACCATCGGGGTTCTTTGCAAATACATCCAGTAAAACTAATAATTAAGCCTGTCAAAAAAAGCCTAAAGCATATATGTTTGGTCAAAAAACCGAAATGAAAATAGAAGTGACATTAGGACTAGTATACTTGAATACTGTACAGAAGAATGAGAGGGAGTTAAAAGGAAAGGAATCTGAACAACGTAAGATACTACYAAATGCAGAGAAGGTGCAGAAAAAAGCAAAACCAGGCGAATATTGTATGATAACCAAATTTACCCAACCCATTAATTACATTTCAACAACTTTATTTAAATTAAAACAAGATGTTAAGCAACCCTTACAGTATTTCTGTGATGGAAGCAAACTGCTGCAGCAGCACCAACAATTTGAATTCGTGAAATCACAGCTTACTCAACTAAAGATAATGCTATGTGGAGAGAACAGGTCATTGTGTCTGCACAAAAGGGGCACAATTTGGACACTGAGCAGGGAAAATATACAGAAAAAAGGAATGTTCTTCTAGAGCTGCCAGAGCTTTTGTCTGCTATAACAATTAAGTGTGCTGCCCAAACTGCAGCTAAAGTTACTAGACTAATGTTTCTCTAACAGATTTAGCAAGAAAAAAATACCCTTTTTTGCGAAAAAAAAAAAAAAAAAAAAAAAAAAAAAATACAACAGATACAACACTGTCTCCTTCTGGTGATATAAAATTCATAGGTAGCAAGCCTAACTCATACCAGTCAATGACTGATGTATGACATTTCGAGGATCTGATAATACACGTTAACATAATGGTAAYAATGTAAGATCAAAATACTTGTCTTGAATTTTGACTACTGGGCTATTTGTGATGAGTATCTTTAGCCAGTCCTGTCTTGAACCATTTAATTAAATTAAACTATTTGTAGTTCTTTTTTCTTCATGGGAAAATATAGAGTGAGTTTTGTTGAAAGCAATATTTTATTGGCTCCAGGCAATTTACTCCAAGTTAMTAAAACTGGGGCAGTGAGGTGCCTTCAGTCATGTTTCTGCATGAACATGCCTATGGTTTCTTGTATTTTGCAGTGAAGCTTGATACCTTGTGGGAATGTTAATCTTTAATCCTACATGGCATTTTTAAACATTCTCCTTCTAAAGCTTACCACCCCTTGTATCTGGATATAAAGAGACCTACTAACCCTGACCAGGGAATTATAGGCTAACTATCAAAACCAAGCATATTTTTTCCTGATATTGATTTTTAACTACTTTACAATAACACAAATTTTGCTTAAAGCTCTATCCTTCACATTCTGAGATCATTATTTGTRTAGTGTTTCTTAAATCATAAATACGTAGCACATTAATTTGGTACTCTAGTGTTTGGCTTTAAGTTGAGGAAAACAAAAATAAAAAAGTTTAAATGTCTGTAGAGGTTAATATCTTACACATATCTTGATTTCCCTTCACAATTATTTGCAGGAGTACGCAGAAGAAAGCTACTAGAAGAAACACCAGAGAAGGACTATGAAATGAATGTAGCTGTAGACAGTGGACACGACAGTGACCAAGATTCAAAAGCAACCACCATTGCTTCAGTAACTTCAGAAATAAGAATGGACAGTTCAGTAGCTGACTCAGAATTTGATGTTGAAACGTCCTTCTCTGATGCCATACAGAACTATGTTCCAAATAATGGTACGTTTCTTAATTTTTACAAAAATAAATTTTATTAAATATTTTTTWAAAACCCCCAAACCAGTTGGAATTATATAAAAATGACAAAAGTAATGTAAAACCTGGTGTGGTTTTTTTTTTTTTTTCCATATGATCAAACCAGAAGAAGGCTGGATAAATCAGATACTTCTGTGCTTGAATGATCTCGAGATCAGAGAAACAGTAAAATTTGCACTGTCAGCAGTGATGAGTATCATGAAAAAGGTAAGAATTCTTTCTGTGATATAACATTAGTGCAAATTTAAGCCAGCCACAAGTCATGTTCTGCAGTGAAGACCCAAAAAAAAAAAACCAAAAAAACCCCAAACAAACAAAAAAACCAAAACAAACAAACAAACAAACAAACAAACAAACAAACAAACAAACAAAAAGAGTCCTTTTAAATAAACCCTCTACAGCTCCCTTGCTTCCAGGATTATATGATGCCAAATGAGAAAGCACAAGAAAATGTCAGGTCAGCTGCTCATTATCTTCCTCTTTGTAATGCAGAATTTGATGAACTTATGGTGTGAGGATTTTGGGTTTTGTTTCATGGGTTTTTTTAACAGCCAGGAAACACCTGAGCAGTGTTTTTAAATTTTTGTTTGGTTTTCTTTCTTTGTGGTTTTTTAAATGAAACTAATAGCTCCCTCTAGTTTTCGGAACAGTACTCATTAAATTTGCTTGGACTTAAAAAAACTTGGGTTGTGATGGGCAAAATAACCAGAGTACTTCCATTGTTTTAAAAGAATATTTTCAAAGCCTAGTTCATAATTGCATTAAAAATAGTTTTCGGAGCAAATAAATAAAATAGAAAATACAGTAGGGGTTATCAGTGCTGTGGGGGTGCCTCAAATATCAAATCGTAGTGCAAAGTGAAGGTGAACCTCAAGGGGCATAACTGCAAAGAAAACAACGCTGTCAGGGCAACGCAGATGATGAAAAAAGGCAGATGRTGAGAAAAGGCAGATGATGCACTGTCCACTCTAAACGAAAGAGGTGCAGCAGGTAAAGTGCCATATGGTAAACTTCACTTCGGCGCTTTGGTTCACCTTTGTTTAGATTGGGTAATTGAAGTTTAAGAACCATATAAATTTGTTCCTGATTTCCATTGTACGTATGCAGAATATGGTTAGATTGTGATCTAAGATAAGGAAAATTGAAGGGCTTTGTTCCTCGTGACCCAGACGGAATTGCAACTCACTGAAAGTTCACTGCTTTCACGGCCAAACTCGTGAGGTTCGACATAACTAAAAAAGCTGAAAAAGGCATTTCCACCTTAAACCTATCCTAGTCCCTTAGGTGCTTTGCAGGCACCTTGCATTGCCCAAGTTGTTCGCACACGTTAAGGGTGGGGGGAGAAGTAGTTTGAAAAAAAATCCCAAACCAAACAAAATTAATCTTAGTGAATGAGACGAAGAAGACTCCTTTGCTGTGCGGCACTGCACCTTCCATCTGGTTTAGGCAGCCCGSCAGGACCATTTTTAGCACAGGCCCKGGCCGATCCCCGGCCCGCCCAGCGCTGCGCAGCCGGACCCACCTGCGGCGCTCCCGCCCCGCCGGGCACTGCCGGGCCCCGCACGGCCCGGGACAGGAGCTGCGGGCGGCCCGCGGGAGCCGGGCCTCGCCCAGGGAGTTTCCTTTGCGTGCCCCGCGCCGCCCGTGCGCACATGGAGGCGGCCAGCGCCGCACGGGAGGTCAGCTGCTGTGAGCGTAGCTTGGACASAACAGGAGCAGGTTCCGAGGGGCCACGTCGGTGCTGGAGGACGGGGGCGGCATGGCGGGCGCGCACCGAGAGGACCTGTCGGTCCTTCCCGCCCGCAGTCCCGCTGCTTCGGGGGAGGCTGTGCCGAGAGAGCGGCGGAGCCGCCGGGGGCTGCGCCGGGCGGGCGGGGACAGCCGGGTCCCGGGGCTGCCACCTGTRCCGCGCGGTCCCCCCGCTGTGCGCGGCCGCGGTGGTTCGTGCCCGCCCCCCGCGCGGGCAGTGGTACGGGCCGGTTGTCAGGCGGCGGGCCGGAAGGGGCGCGCGCCGCCCGCGGGAAGATGGCGGCGGGCGGGCGAGCGGGGCCCGGGGCCGGCACCGGCACGGCCGGGCTGTGGCCGGGGCTGCGGGACAGCGCCCGGCGCTACTGCGGGCTGGCCTGGGAAGGGCTGCGCTGGGTGAGTGAGGGACTGGCGGCGGGGCCCGGCGCAGCCCCCGCCAGGGTCGGGATCTTGTGCAACGCTGCTGCCGAGGGGCTCGGCTAGGGGATAAATYGAAATTAAGGCTTTGCATCACAGTAGCATGTTCTTAAGCACGGGCCACATGTAGTAAATTTGAGCTACATTGAGCATGTCGTATCTTAAASCAAATAGATTATCCGTGTACAAATGAAATGTGAGTGTATCTAAGCGTTTAAAATGTGTTAAATCACTCGTGTGTTCAGTAGGTTATTTTAGCATGAAGCTGGTTGAGCAGGTTTTTCTACCAAGCGGGTTTTTTTACCAGACAATCATGAAATAGTTACTCGTATTGATTCTTCCAGCAATGAAATGTATAGGCAACTCAAAGGAGAATTTWCCATAGTAAATTCTCAGTACCTATGGGGCCTACAGAAAGGTTGGAGAGGCAATTTCTGAAAGGGCATGCGGTGATAGGTAAGGGGCAATGGCTTTAAACTGGAAGAGGATAAGTTTAGATTAGATAAGAAAGAAATTCTTTACTGTGGGGGTGATGAGGCTTTGGAACAAGTTGTCCAGGGAAGCTGTGGATGCCCCATCCCTGGAAGAATTCAAGGGCAGGCTGGATGGGGCTTTGAGGATGTAGGTCTAGTGGAAGATATTCTTGTCTATGGCAGAGGGATTGAAACTAGATGGTCTTTTAGTTCCTTTTCAACCCAAATCATTCTGTGATTCTGTTATATTTGGTAGACTCACGGGGAAAAGGTTTCAGAATTTTATCTGTTGATGTTYACATCTTGTTGRAACTTCTTGTTTTCTTTTTTCACTTGGTAAATCTATTTTAAATTTAAAAATCAAATGCTTCTGTTAACCATTTTCTCAGAGTTTTGGAAAAAACAAATAGATATACCAGCTTTGGAAGTAAACTGTGTCAACATGTAATGTCTGTTTTTGTTGAAAACATTAACCTGTTTTCCTTTAGCTGAAGCTTTTTACTTTACTTTTCAGGCTGTGGCTTCCCTGCCTGAAGATATGAGACCTGGCCCTGATCTGTATGGATTCCCATGGGAAATAGTGATTTGTGCTGGCATTGTTGGAGCCTTGACAATTCTGTTGTTCCTGTACAGAAGTTATCAATCAGTAAGTGTTGTGATTTAACGCCAGACAGCAACTAAGCACCACAGAGACACTCTGTCACTCCCCCTGTCAGGCTGGAATGAGGGACAGAATCAGAGGACTAAAAGCTAGAAAACTTGTGGGTTGAGATAAAGACAGTTTAATAGGGAAAGCAAAAGCTGTGCATTCAACAAAGCAAAACAAGGAATTGATTTACTGCTTTCCATGGGCAGACAGGTGTTCAGCCATCTCCAGGAAGGCAGGACATCATCACACTTAGCAGTTACTTGGGAAGACAAACTCCCATTACTCCAAACACCTCCCCCTTCCTCCTTCTTCCTYCCAGCTTTATGTKCTGAGCATGCTGTCATATGGTGTGGGTTATCCTCTGGTCAGCCGAGGTCAGCTGCCTGTGTCCCCTTCTTGTGAAGCTGCCAGCCTCCTTGTAGGTGAGGTGGGGTGAGAAGCAGAAAAGGCCTTGACTCTTGTGTGARCACTGCTCAGCAATAACTAAAACAGCCATGTGCTATCAGTSCTTTTCAGCACAAATCCAAAATATAGGCCCATACCAGTTACTATGAAGAAAATGAARTCTATTCCAGACAAAACCAGCACAGGAAGTGTTCAAGTCATGTGAAGATATGTAGAGTGCGTTAATAGTTTGCATTGAAGTTGTTATCCTTCCTATTCAAGATATGTAATGGTTCAGAGTTTTAAATCTATTGTGACTGAATTTAGAATCCCTCTAAAAGAGAAGTTGAAAAGTCTGTTTTGTCAAGATAGTAAGTGTTTGGATATATAGTGAGTGACTGTTGTAAGAGGAAATGTGGTGAAACTTGCTGTAGTAAGRCTTCCTTTTTTCTTTTTAATTTCTACACCAGACTTTGCAAGTCAGCCCATATATTACTTTCACAGTGCCTTCCCTAGGGTGTCTGTATTGCTGTGTGTGTTGATATCTCTGTGACTATCTGGCCATAGCCAGAGCAGCTCAGGTCTTTCAAGGTAATTGTAAGCAAAAGCAATCCACATGGTTTTCTGTCAGGGGAGGCATTTTAAACGTTTTGGACAGTGACACCTTGATTCTGTTTATTGCAACACTGGAACACTGAACCAGTTTAACTGCCTGCTCTTTGTGAGCACTAATCTGATGACTTTGAGAATTGCAATAGTGAAACCTTTTAATGCACTAATCAGATTATATTTTTGAGGTAATGCCTGTCCTCTATTGAGATTAAATAAAGATCTGAGTAATAAAACTTGCTTATGGTACTTTCCCTGCTAAGGMAATGGGGTCAGTATCTGTAATTCGGTATTCTAAATTTCTTCCCATTTTTCGCTTACGTTCATACRGACGACATGATTTTGTACTAGAAGTAATGATACTTATTTGAAGATTGGTTGCATAGCTGTTTAGTTTTTCAGATATGAGCAACTGCATTTGTAGGATTTTAACATCAACTGACATTGTCCGTAAGGGGATCTGTGTTTGTGTAAGTTAATGTAACTATGATTTGGTCATGCCTTTTGTTCTGTAATGGCATCCCTCTGGGTGATACAAAAGGCATTTGAACTGTAATCACACAAGTAGCAACTCTGGTATTGTTGTCCTCTATCATWTGTCACTTAAGGCATTAGATATTACAGAACTTATTGATAACTCTTTCAGTCATCCGTACTTAAAACAGCATTGACTGCTCCTTGAAGAATTCATGGCTACTTAAAAGTAATGGAGTTTAGTTTTGGGGATGATAGAATAAAAGTATACTTATGGCTTTCTTATCCTTTTTTCRTAATTTGGACTCCTTGGCTTTAAATAAAGAGGAAGTAGGGAAAATCTGAGGGACCCTTGTTACATTAGGCACATGACCCAGGCCCAGCCTTGAGAGAAATGCTCGGATCTAGCAGTGTTGTGGGTTCAGCCAAGTTATGCATCTCTTGTACGGGCCATTTTGACAGATTTTGCCCTGCAGTTTGTTAGATTTTGATTCTAGGGCACTAGAATCCATGTGGCAGCTGCTCACTTGGCAGGATGCCCATCAGGTAGTTCAGGTAGTACTCTTAATGCAGCTTTTACGGTTTTATGTTATAATGTGTGGGTGATTTTTCTCAATAGGAAATCTGAGCTTGTGTGTGGAGCTTCCCCCTCCCTTCCCTTTCCTATGTTTCCGATTGTGCATGTCCACTCCACCTTTGTGCTGGCAGTCATGGTTATGTGATCAATATACAGAGGTGTGTTATTAAAGTGATCCAGGTGAAAACTAATCTCCTTTCCCCTCTTTTTCATKATAAGAATGGGAGAAGGACAGGGCAAACACACAGACATGGAGGGAATAAGAATAGAGGATATGATAGTCTATTTTTAATAGCAACCTGTATTTATATTCCTTTTTTAAGTTCCATGGTTAAATTTGGCATGGAATCACAGCTTAAAGGATTAGTGTTCAGATACTATGCAAGAGTWATTGATCAGACATTTTCAGTATTTGTTCTCTTTTTTTTCAGGTTAGAAGTCGACTTTATGTAGGTAAGCTTATTTCTGATAATTTATTTTCCATATTTCTTTACAATATGACTTTATTCTTTCTTTTTTCAGCTTTAATTGTTTGGCTGATGCAACACTTGCTTGTCTTTCTCTTTTTAGGAAGGGAAAAACAGCTTGCCAATAAAATTGCTGAACTAGTTGAAGAAAAATGCAAAATTCTTGAAAAACTCAGCCTCTGCAAAAAAGAGGTAACAGTCCTCATTTATGGCTTTCAGATGTGTCATAGAAATGGATTCAGTCAAGTMAAGTATTAATTTCTCTAGAAGTAAAATAGTTTAAAGCTTTTAAAGGAATTCTTCAAATGCTTTTTTGTCAGTGCCTATAAGAGCAGCTAAGGTGTTGGCAAGTTCTGCCTTTAACTCTTAATACAGTGTATTTCACTGGAAGCAACTGCAAAATGTCTTTCTTTGGTTTATGTCACTGTAATAATCTAGTAGAGCTATGATTTTTCTAGTTTCCAGCAAGGTGCATTTGTTAATATTTAGGTGATGTCTATGTTTCAGACCAAAGCATTGCAAATTAATGCTGGTRTTTTATCAGTTATTTACATATATTCTGACACAAAGTAATTCCTTTTCAGTTTGAAGATCTACAGCTGTCTCTGAAGGAYGGTAACATTATGAAAGAATCAACAGACACATCTTTTTTTGAGGTACAAAGATAAATGGAAGTTGGTAGCTCTACAGTATAAGGTAGTATTTTTTGAAAATGTGGCCCCTATGAAAAAACACCCAAACAAATGAAATAAAAACAACAAAAACCCTCAGACAAACCCAAAAAACCCAACTCAATTGTTTTAAAAGAGTTACTGAAAATTGCGTAAAATCAAACCATTTACATTAAAAGATGTCTATTTTKAAAATTGCATTAAGAATGAGTGATACTAGAAAAAATGGCATACTGGACAATATTTAATTTTAAAAAGTAAATTGTTCCCGTTTCTAGGACAGAGGGTAGTACTTGAAGTATTTTTTAATCACATTTGATCTACTTGAAATACTTTTTGTAGGCTACAGGTGTATAGTTGTAAAGAAAAATTACCACTACTTTGTTTATATCCCCCAAACTGAGAATATATTTGTAGAAGAGTTCTGGATAAGTGAATCAAATACCTAATAGGCKGTACAAATTACTGTAAAAGAAAGCGAATAGGTTTATTTCCTTCTGCACYTCAGATCCTACAGAATTAATTCTTACAGCTTTTGTTAGCATGCAAGAGACTCAAGAGTATTTGAGTTGAACATACTTTGCTGTSATATTTAAAATATACTTGTCTTCGTATGTAATTAATATAAAACATTTTATTGATTCACAAACCAACTTGRTTTAGGAAATGCATGAAAAACTGAACAAGTCAAACTTGGAGCTCAACCAGGAAATAGAGGATCTAGAAAAAGAACTGGAAGAAGAAAAATCTAAGCAGTCAGAAAAYGATACCTTGGTAAGAATAAACAGAATCCTATCTTTGTTTCTATTCATTTAAAAAAATTCCCACAGAAGAAAATCTCTGTGGAGGAGACAAACTGTTTGTGTGTTTTGAAACAAWGACTACATTTTCCATTTTTTCCTCCCTGTAACATCAGAAAAATCATAAAGGAAATACTMAAAAAAAAGAAAAGCTGTTATAACTGATTCAGGAGTAGAACTTAGTCAGTTTGAAAATTAAAATAATTTTATTAATTGCCTAGACATTTTCAGTCAAATATGTGAAAGAAGCTCTATGACAACTAATGATTTTCAGGTGGCTGAAATTCAGGAGAAAGTGGAATCTTTAGAGAATGAAGAAAAATCTATCCAGTCACAAATTGATGAGGTATGTCTAGTCTTCATAATTTCTGTTTTCAAATCTTTGCAATTCCTTTTTCCCATGTAATTACATGGTTTAAATGTTTTTTTCTGTTAAGGGTGCAGAGATCATATGCTGTGTAAACGAAAAGACTTTTAAGGTTTAGTACTTTCGTGTGACTTCATTGCACAATTTTTCATTTWGTATAATGATTGGCATTTGTTGAGAAGTAGTTACCTTGTCTTTTCCTCATCTTCTTACTCCACAATCATATATAGTATTGCCAAACTACAGTCAGTAAAAACTGTTGACATTGTAGGGAGAAGGTGAGAATACGTGGGTAGCACAGCCAGAAAACCTAAGACAAGTCCAGCAATACCATCATGACTCCACTTATATCTTCACCAATAYGGTTTAAAAAACACACTTTTTAATTTTTACTTAGGCCAAGTCCACCCTAAAAGTATATCAAATTAATACTGAGAGACTCAAGACATCTGTTCAAGATGCAGTAGATGAAAACAGCCATCTCCAGGAAAGTGAGAAACAGGTAGGTTCTTCCTAGTTATCCTGAGAAATACTGTGTTCCTATGGTACTGATAAATATGGTTTCTCCAAAGAGCTYATCTTTAACAGATTTGTTAATACCTCTTGTATGTTTTAGTAAATGGAATGAGGAAGAGGACATGTATTKTAAATAATTTTATGTTGGAGTAACTTGGTCTGAATTATCCTGTTTTAAAAGAAATATAGTAGTTACAATTTGTGGGGAATTGTGTAGAGTTCAGTGGAAGGAGAGCATATGGTAATGTAAGCCTAATAAGAACTTTGCTGAGACTGAAGGAAAGCAGAAATCTCTGAACAAGTCCACAGCTAGGATCCTCTACAGAGGCAGAGAAAATTCTTTTACTTGATCTAGAAAACAAAAGAAATTGAGAAATTGTTGAGTATTCAAAAGCCAGGTAAAAAGTGTACTCCAGTACCACCATAGATGTATTAATTGAGTAWTACATAGGAACTGAAAAGACTGTTRCTTCCCAAATTTTGGTTGTCTGTCTTCCTCAGTGCTGTAGCRAGATCACAAAGGTCACTGATTATTTTAAAATATTCAGCATATGCAATAATTGTCCTGTGTGATAGGTAGGTAGCTTTACAGTGAAGCTCTTTTTTTTTTTTTTTAGGCAAATAAATATGTTCTATGAATATTTAATGTACTGTGTAATGTTTTGGGGGTTTGAGGTGGTTGATTGTGATTTTTCTTCAGAAACATTAGGAATGTATATTGCTTTAGCTTATTGCAAATCCTTGCTGTTTATCTTCATTATAATTCACAGTTGTATAAACTAAATTAAATTTATTTTCTCTTTGGCTTCAAGAAGAAGGAATCTCTTAAAAGTTCAACTTTGTTTTGATGATGACAATTAATGATAAAAAGAATTGTCTGTATATGTCTTCTAATCCCTAATATGTCATTTGCATGATGCTGCAAATTCATACATTGACTGCTTGGGAAGTGCAGTTATGTGCTAAGGGGCAACATGTGTTAATCAAATTCTTTATATAGTCATATACCTTATGTTGTGTGCCTTCTAGTTTATCTTTGATAAGTAGTGTTCAGGCTTGCTTGTCTATTTGCATAGCAGTTCCCCTGTTYAATTACTGTTTTCTGGTTTTATTTTTAGTATAACTAAAAATAACTGGCTGTTAAATTCGCAGTGCTCAATCTAGTTATTCTTTTCTGTACATTCACTGCTTTTAAATTGATTGCCTGTTGTGCAAATGTAAGCAGAAGTTTTTGACAGACTCTTAAGATGATTTGTTTGTACTTTGTCCCATGTCGTTTTAGCTCATATTTTGTTTTAAMAGAAATTTGCACCAGTTCAATTTTGTTCTCATAATATAATTACTTAATATGTTRCAGTGGTTATTTTTAATATGCTTGTGATAAAGTGTTCTAATCCCTTTGCTCCTACAAAGTATTTTTGTGAAATGAGATTTTACAAGGGAATATCGGTAAAACATAACCTTGGAACCTACCTATATTTTTAGTTAAGCACAGTTAATTGCGAAGATACATACTAGTAGGTGTTGATTACATAAAACTGCGACTTTCATTAACAGGAAAGCTTTTTTAAAATAAAATCTAAAAATTGCTTTAGGAGGTATGGAAAAGAATAGGAGAAATAATCCAGTTTTGCAAGTGACATGAATATAAGTAAATGTCTARAAGCTTCCTGTTTTCACTTACTTCACTGACCACTTCTGAGTTGAAAAGACACAGGCACCATTTCAGAAGTGTGTGTGCCTACTGAGGTATGAGTGTTTTCCATCCATTCCCCGGTGCATATTGCTATTAGATAAATTCTCACTATTTTATTTTCATTGCTATTGTCACATCAAGGTTTTTAATCTGAGTGCAATATTAACTGAACACTTCTGATAAATACTTAAAAATATTCTAACGACTAATTACAATGGATAGCTATAGCAGCTAAAGCAAMTGAACAATAGCATAGAAGCCCTTATTTTCAACTCCTGAGGTTTAACGTTCTTACAATCTTATCTCTCTTAATTTTTACCAATGAGTGAGAGCTTTAAATTCCACTTATGTATAGATAATATAGGTAATAGGCTCACTACTGTTCATCCTTGATTCTTGGTTTTGTAGACAATCACACTAATCTGATATTTCCCTTTTTAGCTTTTACAAGAAGCTGAAGGATGGGGTGAACGATTTAGTGAACTAAATGAACAAACAAAGATGTTTGAATCATCTAAAGCAGATGTAGAAGAAGTTTTGAAAAATAAAGAGAGCCAAATCAAGGTAAATCATGACATTTAGGATTGAATCAAATTATTCAAACTGATGCTTATCATAAAGTTCCAAGAAAGCCTGACAACCTCTCCATGTCTTAATATGCATTAGGCTGTTTTGGAGTTTTGTTTGCTGTCTCTATTCTGTAATGTCATGTTTCTGGCTAAGCTAAAAGACATTGCTTAGCAGCATAATGGAGCAGTCTGATAAAGAGTACTAAGGAAAAACRCTTTTTATTTTAATCCAGTACTGGCTTCCTCTCCTCCCTGCCAAGTTTGGAGTGTGGAAGTTATCATTGTGTACCTTACATACACAAGCCCTGCTAAAACTATGCATGCTTATAGCTGTCTGAAAATTCTTCACTAGGACATGCCTGTTCACCTGAATATACATGTTTTGATAGAAAAAGTATAATCAGACATCTAGAATCCTGTGTGTGGGACTGACTTAATCTACCAAGGGAACTAAATAAACAACAGAAATCTTGGAAAGGGATTGTAATGATAACTACAGTTTCATTGCTTGTATTTGTTTTATTGTTTGGGGGGTTTTTGTGTGCTCTTTCTTAGTCACTGACACAGTATATCCTGAGCATGAAAGACTGGAGTTCGGCCATACGAGAAGATGGTGATGCTGAAGACAGTCACTGGGACACGGATATAAAGGGTGAAACAGAGAACGGAGAGCACTTAGGTATGGTTTGTGTAGTTTCCCAGTTTAAATGTTTAATAGAAGTTTTAGAAATACAGAACTGACTAACTTCCAGAAAAGTTGAAAGATTAGCTTTACAGAAGTTGGATTTTTAAATCTCAGCYAATGTCATTCATGTCAGACAGTTAACTGGTGCTTGGACACCTGGAATAGCAGCCTGTCCTCCTGTTTAGTGGTGTGTGGCACACATAACTGTCACAGAGCAATGTAAACGTTCAGTGTTCAGTCTCTTGCAGAATGACATTTGTCTCTGTGAGTATTAAGAAGTGATTCTCTGGCATTTCTAGGTAGAAACCTTGCTCTTATTGCTTCTTCAGGCACTTCCCAGCAGTAGTACTGATGGTGCTTAGAGCCTAATTTCTGCTTCCTTGTCCTTACAGAGGTGTTGCTTGTTGCAGGCAGTGTGGTAGCCCTGTAATCGAATGGGTGTAGATGTGGGTCCCCTTAAACAGCAACACAGAAAAAGGCCTTTTTCCTCGTCTTTCTTGCTGCAGATTCTTTTTATGCTGGTGCTTGTGATACCATAGGGCACATGCTCATGGATCTTAGTGTGTATTCAGCATCTCACTTTTAATGTGACCAGTCTGAGTCGKGATTAATTGGCAAACAAAGCACTACAATATAGGCATATTTTCTACCCACACGCTGCTTTTTTTTTTTTTCTTTTTTCCTCCAAATATGCTGTTCCTATTGTGATATGTTGGCATTGCTGTTGTATAAAAATTAAATAATAGCAGTAAGATCTGTCACAAACCTTTTTGTGCTTTTTACGTGACATATTGTCCTATTCCTTCAACCAGATGATGAGCAAAAACGAACTGTAAAGAAATTGATCTATGCTGCAAAGGTATGTGATTTTAAGAAATGGAAGAAGGGAATAGAGGAGGGGAAACTAAATGAAATATATGTAATTCTGGTAATACCAGTATCAGAGTTCAACATCTTTTAATGTTTAATTATATATTTTTGCATGCAGTTTCTTAATCTGGTAATCTTAAAATGGTCTCTTTTTTTCAATTTTGATTGTAGCTAAATGCTTGTTTAAAGACTATGGAAGCAGAAAGAGACCAAATGTATTCAAAACTGTCTGATGAAAATAAGGCTAAAGGAGAACTTACAGGTAATTAAATGTTGTTTTGCCTTTAGGAGTAATAAGGTGCTGCTTTGGTAAAATGATGTTACAGGCTGCAAATATTAATTCTAAGGGAAACTGAATGAAGTTTACATTAATAACTACTTGATTTTTAAATTAATAACTACTTGCTTAGCTATTTTAAATACACATTATTTTAGAGGCAGGGCAATCGAAGTTGTAAATTTCATTGTATTCTGTTGGAATATTCTGTAACTATGAAGTTATAGAATCTTAAAATACWAGAGCAAAGTTATGTTCATAAATATATAGTATTTCCTTCACATGATTTCTGGACATGAAACAATGGAGTTTTAGTTTAAATTTTAAAACGACTTATTAAAATGATTGCTTAATTGTAGTTACCTTGTAAAGCTCAATATTTAAAATATAAAGTACTGCATTTAGAGAATTGAACCTAAAAGCATCTTGTTCTGATTTTTTTTTCCTTTGTTGTGTAGGACATACTGAATGAAACCTTATGAAATGAAAACCACTCTTACTCAAATCAAAACCTGTAATTAGCTATTGCTTTTGTAATCATAGCCAGCAGAGTAGCCATCACATATGAACATACTGTTTTGTTATTTGGGTGATTAAATGCTCTGTAAGACCATGTTTTTCAGTTTCTTATAATCCTTTGAACATATTCCTTGTGCTAGTGTGTCTTCCAAATTGACTGAAGCTCTGTCCCATAAAGATATTCAAACTTGCTTGAAGCTTTGTTATATTTCTTGAAAAGAGGCACAGGTATAGTAAACAGGAAAAAAAAAACATGACTATGAGTTCAATTTGGAAAGATGAAGGTAGTTGTAACAAATCTGAGTTACCCATTCAGGCTGTTGAGGAAGACCTTGTGTGGGTAAATCTGCAAAAGCATATGATACTGGTACTGGTTTTATTTCTTTAGTCAAATAATTGCAATAATAAGAGCCCTAAATGAAAATTTAGATTATGAATTACAAAACTGCATTGTTTTCAAAGAGGTTACATGGTTTGGAGAGCGAAGGCCTGACATGTTTTGTGGCAGGTAGAGAGTATAGTTGCTGATTTCTCATTTTGTATCATATATTGAAATATATTAACATTTTGTCTTATGTTATTAAATCAACATAGGATCAAGGGTTTTCAGAGACTTTTTATATACTAAAATATTGTAAATKTATTATCCCAATATAATTATCTCTAAATTTGACAGAACGCATAGAAAGCCTTCAAAGTCAACAAGCTTCCTTGCAGTCTGAAAATGAACACCTTGAAAGTGAAGTTCAAAAGCTTCAGCAGAAACTTAAAGTGATGACTGAGCTTTATCAAGAAAATGAAATGAAACTACACAGGTGCTGGTTCCTCTTCTTATATTCAGTACCTCCTTTTTCATTTGAATGTAACTGATTTGGGGAACTGAAAATTAYTGATAGTTTGAATACTGCTTTCCAGAATCTTCTGAATTGTGAAGACAATTTATTACACTTTCATGTACATTTGTAAAACAGTTCATTGTAGGACTTTTCCACAAGCAAGTACAGAAACAAAGAAGTAACAGATTTTTAAATCTATGAAATAAGGCAAGTAAAGTAGGAAAGCTTGGKTTTTTTTCTTTAATTAAATTATTGTATGATGTAATACATCTGTCAAAGTTGGTGAGAGAAAATCAGTAGGTGCTTTAATAGTGAGATATATTTTTTATAGTGAAGAGAGCAAGTAATATCAGAGGGGTGATGAGATTAATATATAAAATTAAATTTAAAACATAGGCAAGCTCTTGTCGGTGARCAACATAGAACCCCTTTGAATCAGACTTTCCTCACCAAGAAAAACAGAACATGAGGGCTGTACTATCTGCCYCACAGTCAGGGTGTCAGTAGGGATTATGACCTAGTGATTGAAGTCAGAAATAGGCGTAGGACTAGAAATTAAAGTTGGTTGGTCCAAGGCACGTAGTAACCTTCAGAAGTGTGCGTGTGTGTGGGAGCAGAGGGCGTATCATTTTAGGGTATGATGGTAAAGTTACAGTTTTACTATCAGAAATGATTTCTTCCAAGAGCAGACATAATTGTGAAGGCAGCAGAGAATTAGCACAAGACTAAATTCTGTACTGCGCAGTGTGCAGGACTGCACAATTTGTATTTTARAATATAACTTCCAGTAATCTGCTCTGTAGCATATATATTTGTGCAGTTRTTTAGCATCTTTGTAGATGCAACAAATCCTAGAAATCACTGCATTAACATTGTGATTTTTAAAAAAGAGCAGGGAGGGAGTGGGAAGTAACATATTAAAAGGAAGGTATGATAAGCAGGCAGAAAGCAGACTGTGTGGATGATATTTAAAAATACCTCACTAAAGCTCAGAAARTCTATGCTGCTTATCAAAGAATTTTAGAAAAGCCAAAAAGGWCTGGAAAGAAGCTGATGTGGTGAGRTAGCAGCACAGAAAAGACTTAGAATCACTTAAGGCATCTTTTGTAAAACTGGGTCTGTTCAAACAGGGGAAATGGAAAATAGGAAATGAAGAATGAGTAGAAAAGAGGTTTAAATGAAGTTCACAAGATCCATGAATTAGACAGTTTGATTGCTAAGGATTGCTGTTCACAGGAAAATGATCAGTTTATCYATTCAGGGCTGTATGCTACAATATTATCTGTGTGTGCTACAGAACTACTTTGTGCCCCCATAATCTGTGGGCTGGAGAATRGGTTTTCTCATCTCTAGTGCCCAAAAAGGCATAAGGATAAAAAAGAGGGACCTGGAAAGACTTTTTTTCTTTAATAGCTAGTAACAATCTTTTTTTTTTTTTCTCTAGAAAATTATTTTTAGAAAATACCAGAACACATCACTGCTGATAAGTGTAGTTTGGATTTTAGTTTGTTTGATGTGATTTGTGGCTGCTTTCAAAATTGTTGACTTGGAACACAATTAACCGCAGATTTTGAATTTTGTTTAAAGGAAGCTGACAGTAGAAGAGAGGGAACGTCTACAGAAGGAAGAAAAGCTTTCTAAAGTAGATGAAAAAATTATTCATGCTGCTGAAGAACTTAACAGCTACAGGTAATTGCAGATTTTAGTTGCTGTAATCACTTGTTCCAAAGTGAAGAAAGAGCAATAGAGAATTAAAAAAAAACACAGCATAAGCAAATGTATTTTCTTCCAGTTTCTCTGGGGTGTGTGTGTGTTAGATGCAAGTTTATGTGTAATAATCAGACTAAGGGTGGTTTTGCTTTGTTAAAACATTTGGGTGTTGAAGATTATGGCAACTTCTATTCCATTAGAATGCTGATTGTATTGACAYGTTCACTTAAACAGTATGGTAGAAGTGGTTCTCTAGTCTAGTTCCCCTTACTGAACAAATCTTAGGAGAATGTTGTGAAGTAAATTGAATGTTCAGTTTTCCTGGAGAGTTGACATTTATGCTGTATAGTTATAGTACTCTGTTTTTGGATCTCAAAGCTTGTCAAATAGTCCTGTTGCTTAGAAATTCTTTACTAAAATATTGTTGTGGGTGAATATTTGCTGTAGCTGTTTTTTAACTGCTTTGCTCTGGTTTATGGTACACCAGCTGTGTACCTCTGGGTTTTTTTKGCATTTTCTCAAACTGTGGCATAGTTTTTCGGTATGTAATGTATATTTGCCATCTTTCCTCATAGTTTATGGGAGTATTAGGTCTAACTGAACAATAGTGAGCAATGCTTCCTGAAGAGTTAATTAGATTAATTCTTTCCTGTGAACGTTCTTCAGTATTCATACAGGAAGACAGAATTCACCCTTCCTGATTTATTCAGAATATGGACTTTCAGACATCCTAATTTTAAAGAGAATATTAATACTGCAAATTGACTGTAACCAAGCAATGTGTGGGTGTTTGGCCCACCTGCTGAGAGAGTGTACAGCCCAGAGAGGCTGTCCCCAGGACAGCTGGCAGCAAAGGTGACATCATGCATGTGATCTTGAAATAACTTCAGTGCAGGTGGCTGTCCCTCAGAAGTGACTGGGGTAGCCTGTGGCACTGTGGTGCTCCTGCCACTGTGCTTCCTGTGCTCAGCTGGGTGAGGCTGGCTGGTTGGGCATGTGRGGAAGGATAGCCTTTATATTGAAAACATCACAAACCAAGAAAAGTTGGGGGGATGTTGAGTTTTGGTTCTATTCTCTTGTTTATGTTCCTGTTTGCAGTAATATAAGGCCTAGAATTTCCACTGTTWGCATAATTTTTATGTATCCCATGGGGCTAAGTGGCATATTTTTTGGATTAAAAAATTAATTATACCTTGTGGCTACTATTGAGTTTATTGTATTCAAAACTTCCCTCTACATTTTATTACAGTGTCATAAATCCTCATTTTGTTACAGAGAGCGAGCAAAGGATCTYGAAGAAGAGCTAGAAAGAACCATTCGTTCTTATGAGAATCAGGTATTTTGTGCTTTGTGGCAACATCTATGTAGAGGAAGGATGTTACTGCARCTGGAACACCTCTTGCTGTTAGGTTGTGATACTGTATTTCCCTTGTCTTTGTTGGGTGTCTAATTTTGCCTCCCCCTCCTTCTTAAAGTCATGGTTTTGACTGACATAATTTCATAGCAGAGATCACCAGATAACTTTATTGAAAAGTTGAATGTTAAGTTTAGGTGTCTCATTATAAATTATCCTCACACACTAGATTTATAAAAAAGAGTATACAGTCATAAGTTCTGGGTTTTCGGTGAATAATGAATCTTTCTTTCACAGATTACTTCACATGAGAAAAAAGCTCACGATAATTGGGTAAGTTCCAAATACTCATTTTTCTATAATTTGTGCCTCTTCATTTTTGATTATTTGAAAAGCTTGCTTTAATTATCACTTTTTGTTTCTTACTAAAAACAGATAATCAGAATTATCTCTAACCTTTTACTTTTAAACATATGGATTTCTCACAGAAATACACAAAAGCATGTTAAAAATACTTCTATTATGTAAAAAAAAAAAAAAGTTGGAAAAATTAAGTTGGATACTTTTGAACACAGTAGAATGATAATTTTATATAATTTGTTATAACAATAAATCTGCTGGAAGAACATGACCCCCTATAACAAATGTGTGACATTTTGCTAATAATGGAAGCTTTTGGCCTTGTTTCAATGCCATTTGGATATTTTCTTTGGGTGTACTTCACTTCTTTTATCTACCAGTAGAAGATGTTATGTCCTGTGAGAACAGTATGTTCCACTGGCAGCTTCGTAAGAGTGTTTCTACCAAATCYATTTTTGCCCTTTTTTTCCAAACAGGAAAATTTAAACTATCTCCTGACTGATACAGTCTCCGAATGTCTGAAATAAAATCCTGCTAAAACCTGTGGTTCTTTKTGGTCATAATTCCAGAAATTTGAGCTATCTGACTTTGAAATAAAACTTTCTTACCCAGAATTTGAGACTTTAAAACTTCTGTAGATGCTTCAAAGCAGCTATAGCCAGTGAATTTAATTTAATTTCTGAAGTTTTAASAAGCTGCAGGAAAGCCTCCTTATTCCTCAAAAATTTGGGTTGTAGAGCTGCTATTACCCTTTGCTGACGTACGTGAAGGTCCATACATGAGTCATATCTTGTGAAAATGCAGTCCATCCACTTCACATAAAAGGTGAAACTTCCATCTAGGAACTGTCATATTTATGAAGCATATAATCAATATATAGTAATATGTAAGCATCTGATTTTCGTCCTTCTCCAAAGCTGACAGCCCGAGCAGCTGAAAGACACCTCAATGATATAAAGAAAGAAAATGCACATAACAGACAAAAGTAAGTGCAGTCCTCATCTACTCCTAAAGAAATGTAATTMAAAAACCCATGTTTTAGGTTTAGGCAGTTTGATGTTTTCTGTTAATGAATTGTGGCCCAAACAGGGCAGAGAGATCACAGTGTTGTGAAAGAAAGGGAGTCACTTGAGCTTTCCTGTAATTATGACATGCAASAAAGTAAGAACTTAGGGACTACATGAAGTATTGAAATACTTTAGGAAAGAAGCAGAATGTAGTGCTAGAACACAAATGTTGGTGGGGTTTTTTTGTTTGTTTGTTTGAAGTACGTGTATCAACCAGATGTCATGGTTTACACTTATATCAGAAGTTAATGCTGAACTAACATCAGCTGGGGGCAGTTAAAAGGAACTTCCAGGTGTGAGGTTAGGTGTGAGGTTAACTAATACTTGGGAGTTAGAGAGTTGTCATACTAGAAATGTGACATCTAAAATGCCCCTTCAGCTTCTGAATTGCAGAACTTATTTACTTGAGCACAGCAGCATAGAGAAATACTTTCCTTTCAGGCATCTTTAAGTTCAGAGTACGGTGACATCCTTTTCTTTATTTGTTTAGGAATTAAATACCTTGGTTCATTAACCAGTTAAGTAGAAAGCCTAGCAGTAAATAGTGTAGTCTGGTGAAGCTCTTGCATTTCATGGCCACTTACTACTTATTTGTTGTCTTTTTGTAGATTAACTGAAGCAGAATTCAAACTTGAACTTTTAGAAAAAGACCCTTATGCTCTTGATATTCCAATGAGACCATTTGGCAGAGGTACAGTATTGAATTGTAAAACAGACCGTAATTATTTTGGTTTATGGTTTTGTTTCCCAAGACCACACGTATGTGTAACTGTTTGAAAACTATCTTGGCCATGTGCATGTGCAAATACCAGTCATTTAAAAAATAATTGGGTCATAAGTGACTCTAGGTCATGTCAAGTATTTTGTTGAAACTAAGAGCATTTGTACTCTTGATGAGAGTAGACTGGGAATATGTTACACATGGTGTTTAGAGCACTGTTTTAATTTCAGTTACACAGTTCAGTTTTTAACTTCACCTGAGAAGTTATTTATACAGTTTGCTAAACTAAGTATTGTGAACTTGAGCATTTTGTTTTAACTGTTCCAGAGCATTCCCCATATGGACCCTCACCAATGGGCCGGCCTTCATCTGAAACAAGAGCTTTTCTTTCCCCTCCAACTTTATTGGAGGGTCCTTTAAGGCTTTCACCTATGCTTCCAGGTGGAGGAGGAGGAAGAGGTACAATTCTTAAACTTGAAAATTTATCTATTCTGGATGTCTCTCTCCTCTCCTATAAACCTGTCACACCTTTTCCTCTTGTCAGTGACAAAAAGTATATAGACAACCAATTCAACATAAACAGTTAATTGGACAAACTCTTCCTGTTTTTCAGCTTGCTTCTAAAGCTGTTTAATGTGTAACAGTACAATTGAAAATCTAGTTATTAGTAGGCTGGTCAGTGAATTCACTTTAGAAGCATAGATTAAGAAAAGTGAAAAGCCAGACTTAATCAGTTGTCTTTTATTTCTTGGACAGATGGGGTTCTGCTGGAATGAGCATGTTTTTAAAGTAAAAGAWTGTTGATTAGTTTTCTGAAGAAAGAATACTCCCCCTTCCATCTCATTGATCTACAGTCAGTGAGAGAACACTGTCAAAAACATGAGGCAGTTTTATTGGGGGTTGTKATCCTAGAAAGTTACTGGTTCAGTAAATTGTTTGCCTTCCCTTCATTTTAAATTTGAGGCAGTCATCATACCTGGAGAGTGTTTCTTCCCTACTGATAGAAAGGACCAGAAAAGTTGTGTGTAAGGAGTACGATTCAGAGATTCAAGAGTAGGTGAAAGCAAGCTGGAGTGGCATAGGTTGTAAGGGAAGAAAAATCTTCTCCATTCATATTTTTGATGTTGATAGAAGCAGTGTAGATAAATGCTAGAGTGAAGTTCAGCMTCTGTTGCAGGTGATAAAGAAGCTACTGTTTAATTTATTTCTACCATTACAACCACTGAAGCCTGTACTTAATTAGTGGGGAATATGTCCAAATGTCTCTTTTATAAAGATTTCAATAAGTGCAATTATAGTACTCATCTCACAGTGCACAAGAAACACCATGCCTTCAAATTTKAGGTTGAATTTTAGCATGGAGAATTAGAAAATGATAGCTGAATTCAGTATTTCTGTCATTTTTCAGGCCCAGTCTGTTTTAAAGGCAGCTTGCAATCTAAAATCTGTATTTTTACAGGGTTTTTTTTTTTGCACTTGATTATTATACTGGCTTTATCAAGCTTTTTTGTTTTGTTATTTTTCTTCTTCTTGAATAAAGAATTAGAAAGAACCAGAGTGATGGTGCAGATGGTTGTTTCATGGTACCAGTATTAACTCTCAGCTTGCTAATTTTTAATTTGATTAGCAGCAGGTTTTTATCACTGAGAAGATTATTTGTCATGAGGGTAGTAGTTTCTGTTTCAAATTAAATCAAACTTGTAAAATTATTTGTTTTTTGAAAAACATTGCAGGTCCTCTATGTTGTGCTGTTCTTGAGTTAAGACCTTTTCATTGCAAACTTTTAAACACTTCTCATAGACATAACTGGTCATCAGCAAACAGCTGGAGAGTCCTGTGGAGCCGGGCACCTCTTGTATCTTGTCAGTGTTGGCATTCCGTGATGTGTTTTGCTGTTTTCAGAATTAAGGAGGAAAGCCATAGCASAGGATTTAAAATTCCTGGGTGAATAACTACCTGATTTCTTCGATTAGGATCCAGAGGACCACCTGCCATGTACGAAGCTGGCAGTGAAAGAGGAGAGCTGAATTCTGATAGATTAACTGATCCCCACAGACCACCATCAGATACTGGATCCCTCTCTCCTCCTTGGGAACGAGAACGCAGGATAATTCTGCCTCCACCAGGTATAAAACTCTGCTTAGCTACTGTATCCATGGAAAAGGCAAGTTACTGACTTGCAGTGKATGTGTTTAAGTATTTTGGGCTTAAAAATATTAAATGTTTTCTTGGACCTGCACGTGCAGCTGAACTGGGGTTTTTTAATAGTAGTTTTTTTCCTCTTCTTGAACAGTGTGCTTCACTTGCTTTTCTCTGCTATCTTTAAATACATATTACCAAAGGACAATCAGCTCTTTGGTTTCATCATTTTACTGGGAGTTTGTTCAGTGCAYCAAAAGACCTGTCTGGGCCATATAGTTAATAAGAGATACGAGAAGTAAAAAGTTTTAATTTAGTTAAGTAACAACTAGGTAATGTTGAAAAATATGGTTGTTAAAAAAAACTGTCATTTATGCTAATAGTACAAGAGTACCATGGTACATTCATCCTCTCTGGCACATGTTTTCCTGCTGATACTTCTCTTCAGTCATTGACAGCAGCAAAATCAGTCTTCGGCTAAACATCTGTTTTGCGCATCTGCTCAGGGAGGGCAGAGATGAATCAAAGAGGATTCTGCTGATATTTCTCAATTAAAAACTTGGGGGGATATTCAACCTTCCTAGATACCTGTAATAAAGAAGAAAAAAATGTTACAAGTTTAGAAAAAATAAAATTTAGGTAACRTATATAGATTAAGGTATCTCACTTATAACTGCAGCAAGCAGTTCACATCTGTGTGAAAGCCTGTTGTTAGAACCCAAGGTCCTCTCAGGATGCAATTTCTCATTTGGCAGGTGTGGTCTGTTGACAGGATACTGCAGAGAGATAGTAGTCTTGTTTCCTTGGCCTGATCTATGTTCTTAGCCTACTTTTGCACTTGGATCTCACTGATACAGTTTGTCTTGTAGCTGCATGATTGATTGCTAGATCTGATGCCAGCAAGCTGGTGGAAACATTATAGTACTATGAAACATAATGGAAAACAGCATTCTTACCTAAGAATGGCTTAAAACTTGCAGACCTTATTTTGTCTTCGATCTTCTTTGTTTCAAGGCTCCACTGTTTATAACTTGGGCGATCATAACTTCCAAAATTCTGCTCTATGTTAAATTAAAAATCAATGAACTTCCTCTTTTGCAGCTCTTTAGAAACATAAGCTAACATTGGATATACTTGGTGGGATGTATATGTTTGGGTTATTTAAGATTTGTATGTTCATCCTGATTAATAGACAGTTTGTATATTTACAAGAACGTAATTTATCTAGAGAATCTTTCTGGTCTAAAATTGTGTGGAATGGGAGGAATAAATYTTCACAGACCTATTTTGTGATTTTTTTCAATGTTAGGTGAGCCTTATGCTGATCCAGTTCTTCCTCCTCGAAGACAAGAAAGATTTTTCCCTAATCCTCCGAATACTGGAAGACTTTCTGGACCAGCAGAACTACGAACTTACAATGTGCAGTCTTTTGATAAAACAGGTGGGAGTTGCTTCTATGATATTCTAAAATGGAAAGTATCAGTGTAAACTGACTGTGAGAAGCCATGGCAAGAGCACAGGGTTATAGCTACCACAGACCTGAAGTTCCATTGTGTAAGAAACATTTGAACACCTGCTGGCCTTGATGCAGCCATTCCCCACTAGAGCAGTAGCCCTCCCTGCTGTCAGGTGAGTGGCATTCCATGAATTTTTTTGGTCCACCCTCACTGTTTTGTATGGTATCCACTCAWGATTGGTTTAGAGTCTGTTTTGGTCCCAAGGCTCATCACAGCATTTAAGTATCACAAACCCTTGCATTTGCATGCCACACTTGGTAAAGTTAGAAAGGGTTAGACTCACAGAGTGAAAGAGAAACAGCCAACCTTTCAAGTGTCCACTCGCTTGGTGTACGGAGGTGGAAGGTTCTTGAAGCCTCTTCCTTCAAACTGTTGACCATACTGGCAGCTTTTTATAGTTCCCAGTACCGATGCCCCCAACTTAGTCACACCTTTCACTGACCCACTAATTTTGAACTGGCCAGTTAGGTACATTTTAGTTTGTGACACTTGGCAACCGCCAGAAGCTCAAATGTGAGGTTTTGGTCACTGAGATCTTACCATTGACAGCTTAATACTTAGCATTTTTTATCTTTATGTAATACCCTGGTAAGTCACGTGTCTGGTTCATTAAGAATCAGTGAAGCCATTAAACTTGGAACAGAAACTTCACCACCCAGGACTCAGTTACTGATAGGATTAGTGTAGGAAGTTACCATCCCTCTTGCACCATTTCTGGCAAGGGGAGAGAGAACCACTGCTACGCAGTGAGAACTGGAAATGCTGAATTTAGTTTCAGGTTGAAGGTTCAGGTTTCACAGTGAATTGTTCTTTACTGGATGACAGTTCAGTCCCTGTGCTGCTACTGACCTTCCCTCTTTCCCAAGCCTCTTGTCTGTTTCACTTCCACTTTCTCTTCTGCATTCTAATTCATGTTGCACTGAAGTCTTTCTTCCAGCACCTGGCTGCTGACTGAAGGATAGGAGAGGTGCACTGTCTTTGCACTTAATTTTTGCATCTTTTTTTACCCCTTTTTTCAGTCACTGCCAAGCAACAATTAAATTGCTTTTTTAAACATTGTATTCAGTTCTTTGGCAATTCAAAACTGCCATACCATTCCATTAAGCATATGTGAATGCAGCTTTTTAGAGACACAAAATTTCACTAGACTTGTTAAAAAATCCCAAAAAGCACAMATAAACAATTTCCCTTCAATTAAAGAACCAACCAACCAAAAACCAACACATCCATCACGTCTGACTTCAGAACACCAGTGTGTTGTTCAGCACTGAAATCAAGGCTCCCACTCATTAGAGTGAGTGAGTTATACTTCTTAGGAAGACAATAAAAATGTTATTTAAAGTGCACAAAATTATACGTATTTTCATAAGCAGGGGTGGCAAACTATAAAAACTTTTCACTTGAAGAGGTACCTGGAGCAGGAAACTTCTTGTCAGAAAGAAGGGTTAAAGGTTGACAGAGTTTGTGAGCTACTTCACAAGGACAAAAATGGAAAGTGTTAATGCAACGTAAATGTCAAGGCATGAATATTCTCTGTGACATAGGAATTGAAATGTTTTAGATTAAATAACAATATTATCAACAAAAGTAGGACCTGCTTGAAAAGGCAAGTAATTAGAGTTTTTGGAAAGACCTATCTGTTCATTGAGAAAACAGCTTTGTTTKCTTTCAAGGATTGGAAATAAAACATGCACATGAAAATTCTGTCACTAGTTAGAAGTTTTGTTTTGGTCTTGTGGTTTTTAGTATAGTTGTTTCTATCCAAGCGGAAGCATAAGAAAGCAATAGTTTTCAAATCCCAGGTTTGGGGTATTGTTTGTTTAAAGAAAGTGCATTTAGTGTGTATATTTATATTCAGTCAGATGCTACTCCCTGACAATTCCCTTTAATAATTTTCTCCAGTTGTTGTTATTGAAAATGCTTGTTCCCAGCAAAGTATGTAAGTAAAAACACTGAAGTTTGTATTTATCTCTTTACTTATAAAGTTAGTAAAGCAAATGAGAGGATTATTGTTATAATTGTTGTTGTTGTTTGCTATTATTACTTGAGTGCTCATCCAAAACTGTTGTAGTTCCGAAAGTCTCCTTGACATTTGTCAACCAAGAAGGGAATTATTTTTTGTCATACTTGTGTACAGTTGGTGTGAGGCTCTGTGCCAAGAGCATATCATGGCACTCCATTCCCAGAGTGGGGCATACCAAAGAAATAAACCATTAGTCAGAGGGAGGGGGGAAATGGATCTGCAGCTTGCTGTCGGTTTTGTTGCCTGTCTATCTTGATTTCAGAAAAAAATACTGAAATCAGTGGTGGAAAGAGATCAGCACTGAATTACTTATTTCCCTTCTGCATACAGATGGACAGACATCTTCAGAACATAGTCCAGGAACAGAACCAAGTGGAGATGGGATGAAGGATCATTCTAACCTTAGTGTAAGTAGCTAAAGAGAAGCTTGATTTAAAGAAGCTTTAATTTTTCTGCAAAAAACATAGAAACGTTTGTCTATATTCCATTGGTTGCATTATAATGCACTCTGCCGTGCAAATTATAAAATTATACATATACTTTTATCACAACACTTATTATGGTGAATTAATTTTTATGTATTACTAATACAATCCCTGTTGAAAATTAATTATATCCCAAAAGATGAAACTGTGGTCAAGCAGATGGTCAGTACATACAGGTAGCCTTGCTGAGATTATGCTGCAGCTCAGGCAGAGTTGGAACTAGCCCTTAACTAGTGTCACACCTACATGAAAGTGGGCCYGATGCAACTGGAAATGTTAGTTTCCCTCCATTAACTTCCCTGGTTTCTTTATGTTGCAGAACTCGCTCCCTGATCAGTCACTGGCACCTGAAAGTGAAGCTGTCAGTTCAGGGTTTGCACCCCCACCTTTCCCTCCAGTCAGACCTCCGCTGCTGCCTGTGGATCCTAGAGCACCACCAGTACCTTTCATGAGACGAGGACCTCCTTTTCCTCCCCCTCCTCCTGCTGGCATGTACGGGCCACGGGAATGCTTTCCAGTGCGAGACTTCGGGCCTCCACACCCTCCAYTGCCAAGTACGTGGTTTTTGAGCATTTATTTCAGGTCGATGAACGTGAGTGCTTTGTGCAGTAGTGAGTTACCACAGTGGGTGGACATGTACATATTTGCACACRCTACTTTTTAATTCAGCTAACAGGGAGCATCTTTTCTGATTAAGGCTCATTGTGTTGTACACTTCCTTCTTTGTAATAGCTCATCTTGATGTTTTCACAAATACTAGCTTTGGCTGGAAAATACACCTCCATCTACTGTTCGGCTTTCAAAGGATTCTTTTTGGGGGATAGTGACAGCAAGTAGGTGGTTATCTTAATCCTTTTCTTCCTGTGACATTGCATCTTACATAAACCTTGAAAGCTTCATCCTCTGGCTCTGAACTGTGCTGATGCCCTGCAAAGGGACAGACGCAAAACAACTGTTTTCCCTGTGAGTTTGCATTACTGGAGCAAGAAATAAGTATCAGACTGCAGGGTTTCTTTCTAACTCCTGCTGTTTTCTGAGTATGTGTGAACTAAGCCATTTATCTGTAAGGTGTGACAGGCAAGKGCTGCTGTGGCAGACTGAAGGGGATGTTGGCAGCAGCAGCCCAGGAGCTGGCAGTGGCTAGCTGCTGCTTTGAGGCCGTTGCAGGTAACTACTGAGAAAAGGGATGGGTTTGCCCTTCTCCTTCCTGGCATCTCTGTCTCTTTAGATCCTGACATATGACGTCTAGTTAGACAGGCCTAGCTGAGCACTAAGACAGCAAGAGGAGCAGGGACATGTTTTTACTGCTGTGATTAATATTAACTGGACTACTCTGATTTTCTCACAGTAAGAAATCCATTTCCAATGAGACCTTATCCTCACTATCCACCTCAACGCCCTGGATTTTTGCCTCCACCACCTCCTCCTGAAAATAGAGTTGAACCACCTCAGTCAAATCCATCAGCTGTAGAACAACCAGAACCACAGCAGGAGACTTGACAGTCATTATGGGAATGTCCTGAACCAGTTCTATGCTCTCCTACTGGCATTTTTCCTTATGTTAAGTAACCATTGTTACTTAGGTCTATACAAACTACTTTGCTCAAATTGAAGCTTAATAGAGAATTCTCAGGATAGTGTTTTGTAAATAAAGAATTAAATAACTATGAATATTGTGAATAAGTGATTTCCACTGTATAATAGTCATTTTAAATTAAGTATTTCTAACTTGAGTAATCTCTTCAGAGATGTACAAAATTAAATCAAGTGAACCTTATTGTAAAAGTCCAGCTGCTTTGTCCTGGTTTAGCTGTACAGGGAGCTTTCTGCATGCCAAAAGTGATGCTTGTTGCATTATGAATAGGATATGAAAACAAATGGAAACAGTTAATAAAAACCTATAAAAAATGGAAGCAATGTCACTGGTACCATGGTATAATAGGAGGTGAAGATGAATAACCATGATCCTCCACTCGAGTCTCCTCTGTCAGTGACCTCATAAGTGATCTTGCAGCTTTCGAGTTCTGCCACGACACTGAGGGGGAAGGAGCAGCAGAAAAGCTGAGCAGCTCTCCCATCCCTCTTCAAAAGCTGGAGTGGAGTAGTGCTCATTGAAGATGTGTACAGGGTATTTTTCTGACCTGGGAGGAAGGAGTCAGAGCTAGGAGATGCTCCAGCCCAGCCCAGCCCTTGCCTTTGAAGACTTATGTCTGCAGCAAACTAATAGGAGGGGTGTTTTTTAACTGTTCAACATGAATTCAGTTTATTAGGCTTCAGATTTTAACACCAGCATTTGGAAAATGCTGGCCAGGACAAAAGCAGAATTTAAAAGTACAAGAAGAAAGTGGAAAACTTGCAGCAGCAGTAGGTTTGTGTCTGTAAGAGCRTTTGGTGTGTTACCTCACTCACCTCTTCAGGCAAGGTTCCCATGTGCTGCTTCCCTGGCAGGAATGGCTGTCCCAACAGGCACAGTGCATGCACCTGCAGCCAGGGCATGGGCTGGCCTGTGCCAGGCTGGATCTGGATAGACAAGCTCCACTTCTACTGACAACTGTATAATCTGAAGACTTCTGCAAGGAGCTGGTGGCTGTTCTGATAGTTAGGCTTCARTCTGAAAACCATGCAAGGACTCAGCGCAGTCATTTGGTAAGGGACAGGCGAAGATAAATAAAGAAGCAAAGTGGTTTTAGCAAGCCCCGACTCACAGCAGCAGTTCAACCACCAGTCCCCATTCTCTGCATGCACACACACAACTCAGTTTCAGGCTTTCATGTAAATGCAGCTACCACACCCCATAATTAGAAGTTACCAAAAAAACCTCCAGCCCACTTTTTTTTTTTTTTTTGTAATTGCTTAGCTTGAGTTTGCCAAGGGAGCATTTTCTCTTGGAGCTCAGTATTCCTGCTCCTACCATTATTCCCACATTGACTCCTTTCAGCTGTAGAACTCTTCCACGGCTCATTCCTGTAACTTATCTTTTCTGCTTCTAGTTTAGCCCTCAAAGCATTTAGATAAGCCATTGTACTCCAGCAATTCAATGACAGATTCTGGCAACAGACATTTTAAAGCATCATCCATGTTAAATTAACTATGTCRTATAATATGGCTGTTGCATCACTTTTAGCCAATTAGTTGTTGCTGTGAGTTTGCCTGAGAGACTTCACTAGGATTCTCAATGGAATGACTGGGTTTTGCCCTTACCCTTGTCATCAGCCCTAGGAACAACCAGAACTGCCAAATATAACCCTGTCCCTGCACAGAGAATTGGGATAGCACAGAAATCCTGGGCTGACAACACTGCCATAAACCTTTTTCATTCCTTGCCCAACTCACCTCAGAGACTGCAAAAACTATTTACAAATGTATTTTAGATTTTCTGAGCAACCACAGTATTTTCTCTTTGTGGGTTAAATATTTGTTCTAAGTTAATGCTGAAAAATTCCTCCCTCACCAAGAGTCTGTGCCCACAATCATACTGGAAATACAAAGAAACAAAAGTAAAATTCCTCTTGGGATTATACAAGTTCAAAATAACATCACATAGTTTGTAAGGTCCCACTCCAAATGCAAGTGAATCTTAATTTCCTAAAGATTAGAGATTGCTTCTGCTTGACTCCCTTCATCGTGATATCGTTAATACAGATTACTGCTGAAAATACAGGCAGAAAACAAACCCCATTGTTCCTAAGACAGGAGAACACTGAGGGATGCATTTCTCCAACACTGTTTTCACCACACACTCCTGCTTTACTGGACTCCCTGTAACTGCCAAGATAGAAAGATTCGAGCCCTCTGTTTTAAGTACATTGACTTCTTCCCTGAACACAAGCCAAACCCAGTGAATAGACTTCAAACCCAGTGAGTATGAAAAAAATCAGACCTGAAGCACTAAAAAGGGACAGCCATTGATAAGAGCCAGCTCTGGCAGCAACTGCACTGAATGAAAGGGCTGCCCATCTCTACGTAGTAGAGTGGGCTGCTTCTCCTGCTCCTCATCTTTCCAAGATTAAATTAATTAAAGCAGAAAGCAGGTCAGACCAAACAGACTAGAAACACTTTCATATAACAGAAAGGCAAACACGTTACTTCCCAATTCTGTTTAGTAAGGCAGTTACCCATAAAATGCAGGAACTTGCAGAGAGAACATTACCATTCTGCAACTGTTTAAACCAGAGGATGCAGAATTTGCTTCATTTGTTTCCGGCTTTTTCTGTGACTTCCTGACATCTTGAGCCCTTCATGACCAAACTTCAGGTTCAGATGCTGAAAAGCATTCATCATCAGATTTAACTGCTACATAAACCTCCTCTTGAGGCYGAACCCTGAAAGGCACCAAGACAAGTCCCAGTATTTCAGTTTACTGGAACATGAAAAACTAATTTGATTTACCTTATCTTTGTTACCCACGGTATCTCTTCAGTGTGTTGGCAAATGACATTGCTTACTAAATGTGGAAGCTCTAGGAAACTGCTTGAAGAACAAGCAGTGCAATTCTCCTGCCTGGCAGCAGTTTGGGCTATGGTAACATGAAGATGAGCAGCTCGAATGAAGTCCGTGCTTAGCACGCACACACTGACCAGCCACTCTGACAAGCCTCACAGCACAGTCAGCCACTGAAGGGCAGCTCCTCGACAGCTGACCAGACATCKGCAGTTTTCATTCAGAAGGCACAGCTGTGTACTCTGAGTACAGATAAAACGTCAAACTGAAGCATTGCAGGTATTCATAATCTATTTAATAGTGGGACACCAAAGAAGTACTACACATTTTTTTGAGCACATTAGGTTTTGATTTAAGCAATTGCAATTGATGCAGTAATTTTTCAAAAATAGTYTTCTATATTCTACAATCCACAGTTTACTGTATCAGTCTAATAGGTCATATAATGAAATACTGTTTGTGCTAACTGGTCTGATCTTTAGCAAAGCATTGTTTCCATTCCTCCACCACCCCAAAAATGTTGACAAAATTCAGCCAAATTAAAAAAAAAAAAAAATCCGTGTGACTTATTTTAGATTTTTCTGCTGACCTAAACACAATGGGAGCTACTAGTTATACATATCTTATGAACGATATTGCATTTTAATTCTAAAAATCTTCATGCTGATAACAAAGTATTTATACAGCGATCAATTTTTAATGCTTTATTCATTGATTAAAAGAATATAACATTTAACATAAACCATACAACATCAGTCATCAATTCAAACATTCAGCTGGTTTCCTTACATTTTCTGTCAGGAGTTTTTTTTGAATCTGATCACATTTATAAGATAAAATCTCACCACATCTGGCATATACACACACTGTGCCAGTGGATTCACTCTACTGATGTACATATAAAATCCGCATGGTATGTGCTCACTGGAGACAAAACAGCGCACACCTGTCAAAAGGTCATTTTAATATAAGATGGTAAAACCATTTGTAAAACACATATAAACTTTTTCCATAAATAGAATCATATCTGGACATCTGTTGCATAAATTGTGTTTTCCAAAGCTTACAATATAGCAGCCAGGTCTCAGCACTGCTGGGCACCCACGTTGGCCACTTACTTTATTATTGCAGACTGTCCTTTAAACATTAAATGCACAACATTCGTACCACTTAAAACTGGGGTCAGGTGGAAGTCTCACAGAGACCACGTCTGTACCGCGGTTGCCCTGAAACAGTTACATCGGCTTCTAAAGCCTCTCAGATATAACAAGATTTTAAAACATACTTCATGGAATGTTCTTCATGCATCATAGCAGCTCATACCTGTGATAGAACAAGCTTTGTATTTGTTTCCTTTCCTTCCTTTACATTCACTATTCACAGTGAAACAGGTGCATGTTTGTTAAGAGTTCTGAGGTTGCTGACTGAGCCACAGCACAGCTGTGTACCACAGGTCGAAATTCGACCTTATATATTACAATCTAGCAGTATCTGGCTGGCCAAAAGTTGGCCTGCCCCTGCCAGCATGTGGGCACTTCTTCGTTTTTAATCTATTCTTTGGCAGCTGACACAGGCGCTGACAGAGAAAATCCAGTGACTTGGTTGTTAGGGATTTCACGACTAATGTTTGTTTGCAGGTGTAGACCTTTGTACTGAAATCTTCACTGTTACGCGTTTACCTCACCGGAGTGCACGTTCTTGCTTTTTCCTTTTAAACTTTGGCCCAAAGCTAACTTTTAAGGAAGATGACAGAACATGAGAACAAACAAGGAATTTGCAAAAAATCCAAAAGACTATAGTTTATGGAGTGAATCTGTAAGCGCAGGAACCTGAATACTAGTGTTTCACACCGCTGCTTAACAGCTAAGGAAAGCCGAGAATGGAGTTAAGCCATGCTGCAGAATTCGCACGTGAAATCAAGCAAGGTAAGAGTCTTACAGTGAACAGCCCTGGATAGACTTCTCGTCCCTTAAGCCTATTAAGTAGCATGCTACTGGATTAAGCACACAATGACAGCATAGAAATCCACTGGGCTATGGATATGGGTATTAAAAACAGTTGGCTCCCGAGCACAGGACTCCAATATAATAGCAAAATAATTCAAAACGCAGTTACTCAATTAAAGTAAAGTTAGCCGGCAACCTCAGACAGCCTTTGGCTGTATCTTTGCAAGGTTTGGTAGACAAGTCCATTAACCGTGAAAACCCTAAACACTGCCACTTTCAGCTTCTAAACCAATACCCGACTACGTTCTTTGATCAAGAAGTAGAATACACATATATAATTCTATATAGCTAATACTGATTAAACACAGCACAAAAGGGGTTAATTCACACTACCGAAAAAACATAATAGGACCCTACTTGCATATGTAACCACAGGAATTGTAAATAAGGAGCTAAATGCCTTCACTGAAGCTTTGCATCTCTCTGTAAAAGTGACGGGTTGGCTCAGTGAAGACACTGAGCAGCTCTATGTCCATGACAGCGTGCCAAGGTCGACCCAACCCGAGAGATACTTGCTCAATGAAATTGTGTACTGGATCCACATCCTGATCAGCCAGTTCTCCTTGGTCGAATTCAATGCTTTCTTCTGTGACTTCCAGTACTTTCAGGTCAGAGCCACGAAGACGAGCAATTGCTATAAGATTATGAGCCCAGACTGTGTAACCTATGGAGAAAGAAAAACAAAGTCRCTCTGTCATTCTCCTACAAGACATTTGCTTACTGTAGTACTTAATACCAGATTATCTCAATATCTCTCCCAACCTATTCTGTCCTGTTTCATCTGGCAGAAATTCCCTAGGCCATGGTGACAGAGGATTTTTGGTTTCATGTAGGGAAGCCCCCGTTCTATACTTTGAATAAGAAAGTATAAAGTATTTCAGATAGTTTCACAAGCTTTTCTATATCTTTTCCCCCCAGTTGCAGAGTAGTGGACTACTCTTAAGTTATATATGCAATTTCAAACTTCCTGTGATATACTCTGTAGTATAAGTAAAATGAAAAAAAGTGAGTTAAGTGAATGCATAAAAGGACTGCTTTAAAACTCTGATTATGCCAGAAAAAAAAAAAGATTTGCGTTTGTTGCTTTAGCAGTAGACTTATTAAAAAAATAAAAACCCAAACAAAATCACCACCAAACAAACAAAAAGTCAACACTTACACACCACTTACACTCTTCAGGTCACYCCAGTGTGTATATACATCTATATATCTATACATATATCTATATATCTCTAAAATAAACTACAYGTACCTTGTTATTCTSAGATAAAACATAATTACAAAGCATCCCTCTCTTCACATTATATATTAGCATTCCTCTTTAAAAACTCCTACTCCCCAGTTACCTGTTAGCTTTCTGAACCCTGGCTAAGGGAAATGCTGAGCTCCTCCCTATTCAGATGCAAACCACAGATGGTCTGGGAACTTCCTTTTTGGGGAGCTCTGCCAAATCAGCCCTTGCACTGCAAAAGCAAAGGCTCATTTCTGCCTTCATCATCATTCCTGCAGGTGCTAAGCTTCTTGGTGAGATGCCCAAGTAGATTCCAAGTAAAGCTACAGTCTGCACAATATTTAAACTGCTGAGAAGTAAAAGCTATCTGTGGTTTGGTCTTCCAACAATGCAGTTAACGCGCTCTACATCATAATATATCAAAATAAAATAGACAGAGAATGAAGAAAAAAYGTCAAAGTAATAAAGAAAAGCATTTCTATTCTGTTTTCATTTACTTTTTTCTAATGTGTCTCTGTAAATATGCTGGTTAGGGTAGGTTTTCAACAAAGAAGCCTGCACACATCTGCAAGGCTCATTTCTGGTGTATTAACCATTAGGAATGCATGAAYTCCCACAATCTTCATCTGCTGAATACTTCACCTCCAACACAACTGTCCACAGAAGATAAAGCTGTCATAATTCAGGCAGCTTGATTCAATGTCTCTTCCTTAACAGGGACATTAAACTCAATGGAAAATTCCTCCCTGTATGGTGATACTCTCCTATCAGGACATGAAGGAGCTCACACCACCTCCCAGTTATCTTGATTGTAAAGGAACTTACCAAAGAAATCCTTGAAAGAATGTGCAAGAATAAAGGTGAAAAAAAAAAAAAAACCCTGCACACAAAACCCCTTTACCATCCTATGGTCAGACATATGGCACTTGCTGTAGCTTTTCATGGTGAGATCCTCTATGCTATGGAATAACCATCTTATTCCCAGCTTAGTCTCATTTTAAATTTCAAAAGTTTTGCCTGAAATTTCTTAGTGACCTCCCAGCAGCCAAAAAGTCTCTGTTCAGCTAAGTATTCAGAGATAATAGTAATCACTTCACCACTGATATTTCTGAACAACAAATTTACCATGAACACACTGCAATTTGTTCTTCCTTGCTAACAAAAATATCAACTTTCCTTTTGCTCATGGACAGAATAAAACTTCACCAGTATGATTATAACACAAAGTCATAGAATCCATCTGGAAGAATCCGTCCCTTAAGGAGGAAGCAAGAAAATTTTAGAAGGCCTTTTTTATACAAGATCATACCACTCTGAGTATTGTACTGTCTCCATCCAATCCCAAATGGCCACATACTCTTTACATACTTTCTTCATTCTACAAGAATGTATTTAACATCTCCCTTCCTCTGGCTGCTGGACATGCTATCTTAGTGGACAGATGACTTCCCACAAAAGCCAATCTCAAAGCACCCTTTGTAAGGTGTCCTTAGCAAATGTTTTCCCCTTCCTCTTTTGGCCAGTGACAAGTAGCAGCCAAAACTAGATGTAATCAAAGCTTTTTTTCAAAAGCAAACTAATACCAAAAGAGGAAATATACACACAAACGCACACATACAAAAGCCTGAAAAGCACTAGAAACTGAAGAACAACCTCTTCAGGAGACAGAAGAAAACTGAGCACTTAAAGTGAATTATGGCACCTTGAACAAAACCACCTCCTTTTCCTGAAATTTGACAGTATAATATGAGAAGTGGAGACAGAAAACATTATATGGTAAACCTCAGAGAATCCAAGCATGAGGTTAAGATGCTGTACTGAGGCATCACAGCATTCTGGATATTTCTTCCTAGCAGTGTTCTTCCTACACTTACTCCTCTCCAAGAAAGATGCTTGCCGTATAGTACTAGAGAAATCATGCTCACAGCTTAGAAAAGATCAGGAGATATTTGTAAGCATCTCAGCTAGCTTCTGCTGCAAGGAGGGGGGAAAAGAAGGGTAAAGAATCTGTTATCCCAGCATAACAGCAAGGTGATATTTGGCCATTCTCTCACACAGGCAGGCACAGAATCTCTCCAAAGAAAGGTGATGTTGCAACAACTATTTGMTAGACAGAAACATGAAAGACATTTGCTTTCCCAATGCTGTGCACTAATCCCTTCTACTGAACAAACATATGCTGATATTAAATTATACTTACACTAGCTTATGTTCAGATGTTTTATAAGCTTTAAAGTCAGATAATATATTAGTTTTCTGTAGCAGGACGATAATTTAAGGTAACATGTAATTTAAATTTTTTTAAAGATCCTCAAACATGTATCCAAATTCTAGAAGAAACTGCTAAAATCCACACCTAGACTGGTACAGTCAT